GCTCTTCCTTCCCCTGTCATGGGCCTGATATACCCCAATATACCCTGCCGCCTTCTGTTCCTCCCATCTCTCTGCTAGACCCCCCCCCCACAACCCACACCAGCAGTCCTACATGTTGAATCTCTTCTCCAGCCCCTGGATGGCTTCCTTCTTTCTCAGGCCCATTGCTTCCTACCTGCTGGATGCTATGTGTCCTCCTCCCTCTGTGATTTCCCCCCATATCCTTTCCCACCTTCATAGCCCTGCCCTTGCGTAGGTTCATGGTGGACCGGGATATCGTGGGCTGTAACTGGATAGAGCTTCCTCCTGGCACATACCAGCTGCGCACAGAGCTGGCCTCAGGGGAGGCCTCCAAGGACAATCCAGCAAAGGTACTGTGTGAGCACAGGGCTTGTGTGGGTGGGGTGGGAGGTTGCCCAGGGAGATGGGGGGGCTGCTTCCAGCATGCACTGTGCTTGTTGGGGGAGGAGGAAGTGTGATGTTCAGGGTCTTGCTGATGATTCCCACCCCCCAGGCATCTCTCTGCCAGCTGGAAGTGGATGTGGCCTGGACAGACTTTGTGAGCCACCCCCCTGAGGGCGAGTGGCAGGGCATTGCACCTCTGCGTGTGCTCAGCTTTGACATAGAGTGTGCTGGGCGCAAAGGTAAGAGTGGGGAACAGAGCAGCCAGGTGGGGTGCTGGGGAAGGGGAAGCTGGCACTACAGTTGGGGGTGGGGGCGGGCAGCTTTTGAGAAGGCAGCTCAGGTTTTGGGGGTGGTGTCTATGAGGAACTGGGCGAGTGGCAGGGACAATCAGGGAGGGTGGATATCACTGGCGGCAAGTTGTCTGAGTATCATCATTAGAGACCAGAGTGAACAGACAGGTACTGCATGGCAGGCAGCTACCTCCTGCCTGTGCCAAAGGCCAGTCTTGTGGGTGTATGTATGCATGTGTCTGTGAGAGGGTGAACACACTGCTCCACCTTTAAACTCCTTCTCCTCCTCTCCCAGGGATCTTCCCAGAGCCAGACAAAGATCCCGTGATCCAGATCGCTAACATGGTGCTGCGGCAGGGGGAGAAAGACCCCTTTGTGCGCAATGTCTTCACCCTGCAGGGCTGCGCCCCCATTGTAGGCTCCCAGGTGCTCTGCTTCCAGAGAGAGGCCGAGCTGCTAAAGGTAATGCTGTGGGGTGCGGTGGGCAGGACGGGGGTGGAGGTTGGAAATGGGTAGCACTGTGGGGTCCTGTTCTGAAGGGTCCCAGGAGGTAGGGGTTGGGGGACCCAGGTGCAGGGGGTGGGGTCCATTCTGGCGTTGGGGGACTTTGCCCTCCCCTGATTTCCACCTCCCGGTGTCTCACAGGCCTGGGCTGAGTTCGTTCGCATTGTGGACCCTGACATCATTACGGGCTACAACATCCAGAACTTTGACCTGCCCTACCTGCTCCAGCGTGCCCAGGTCCTCAAGGTACCTCCTGGGCACCCCTCATGCTCTCAACAGCCTGGGGTAGTCCCTCCACTGGGCCCTGGGAGCAGCCTCACTGTAATGATCCCCAGCACTGGGTCACTGCCCCCCCATACTAAACTGCTTCAGAGTGCCCAGGCTCTCAAGGTAATGCTCCCACTGCTATACCTGTCCTTGTGGCTGTCAGCACTGCCTGTGTAATTTAGCGAAGAGCCTAGATCAGTGATTCTCAGCCAGGATGTTGCAGCACTGGAGTACCTTGAGACCTTTTTAAGGGTACTGCGGAATGCCCTGGGATGCCTTGAGACCCCTTTAAGGGTGCCGCAGAGTGCTACATGCTGTTGGGCATGCAAACATGAGTCACAAGATAAACCTAGGTATTTCAGATTGCTTTTAATGCTACAGATTCCTTTCTACTCCATTGTGGGATGCCTGAGCTCTTTGCAGCAGAAGAAATTGCTCTATTCTCTTCCTGTATTCAAAAATCAAATGAAAACCTAACAGGTGGCACTTTTCAAGGGGGGCCTGGAGTCCTAAACAATGGATTTGCATGGGATGATTTAGATAGGGATGACCCTGTCCAAGGCAGGGGGTTGGACTAGGTGACCTCTGTGGGTCCCTTCAGCCCAACAGCTCTGTGATGCCATGACTCCCATATCCGGGGGTTACCAGATTGACCTGTGCCTGTATTTGTAACCCCACACCCAGGGACAGTCCCTCACCCCAGCCATGCTGACCCTTTAGAGCATCCCCTGCCCTGCCCTGCTCTGGCACAGAGCTTAAAGCACGTACCCCCAGTCCTCCTTGAAGCTGTGCCATGAATTTCCAGGGGGGCTCAGTGCTGTGAGAGGGTTGACTTGGATCTAATCCGTGCATAAACCTGATGGGTCCTCCAGCTGCTGGGTTGCAGAGGATAACTTCACCCTGTCCCTGGCCAAGAATATGATGAACAGGCATGTGAAAGCCTTTTCTGCCCACCCTGGAGCCTGGGGGCAGCAGTTGAGGTGGGTGGGAAGTGATCTGGGGAGCCCTGCTTGCCTTTGCTTCTGTCTCTAAGTTTGAGTTCTGGTCCATCTGGGTTGCCATGTCTGCCAACTCCTTGGCAGGAGCTGGGGCTGCTGTCAGGCACCAGCCAGCATGGTCAGAGACATGGCTGTGAATACCTTTCCTCACCAGTGCCCCAGGCTTTCTGGCAGGGGAACATGGCCTGCCCTGGCAGCATAGCATGGTGATGGCGATGAGCTTTGGTGCCCAGCTGCTGAGCATAGGCACAGACCCCTGCTCCAGGAGGGCATAGATTTGTGCCCAGGCTGGTCCCAACAGCCTCATCACCTGGGTCAGTGCCCTCCAACAGCAGGCTGCTGTGCAGGGATGTCTAGTTTCTCAGAGCTGGGCACTCACAGGCTGGTGCCCCTCAGCTTGAGAGAGCCTGGGGCCATACCCTAGCCACTTCCAGGGTGGGTGTGATGTTGAAGGGGAAGCTGCTTTGTGGGCAGGTGGGCTCCAAGTGGGGTCATTAGCTCATCTGCTAATTAGCCTGCAGGAGGTGGTTCAGCCTCCCAGGTGGTAGGGCATAGTGTTTGCCCTCTAGGATGCAGTGGGCTGTATTTCCCTCCATATCAGGAGGGTGTGCTATGCAGGGAAACTGAGTCACACCCTGACAGTGAAATCATGGCAGGGAACTCCCTAGGCTGAAATGGGGGAGGAAGGGGGCAGAATTAAAGGGGGTCTCTCCCAGCCTAGTGGGGCACAATGCCCTGTCTTGCCTTGGGGGAGTGAGAGTCTCCCTGGGGACACAGAGGCAGCTGGTATTGCATTGGTGGTCCAGCTGCCTGAGTCTTGGTTCCTGTTGCCCCTTCCTTTCCCTGCTCCCCTCCCCCACCAAGGTCTCGACGTTCCCTTTCCTCGGCCGGATTCCAGGTCGCAAGTCTGTCATCAGGGACTCATCCTTCCAGTCTAAGCAGATGGGGCGGCGTGAGAATAAGGTTATCAACACCGAGGGACGAGTCCAATTTGACCTGCTACAGGTGAGGGTGGGGGTTGTGGGTGCGGGGTACCAGCAGGAGTCTGCAGGAGCCTGCAGGTCGGGAAGGGCACTGGAAGGCCAGGGTGGGGCAGAGGGCTGTGGATTGGGAGTGAGGGGCTGTGGAAGGGCTTGTGGGGCAAGGGGCTGTGAGGTGGAAGCCAGAGGCACTGGTAGGGCAGGGAGCTGTGGGTCAGGAGTGAGGGGCACTGGCAGGGCTGGGGGGGCAGGAGCTGCGGGTCATGAGTGAGGGGCACAGGCTTTGGCAGTGGTCCCAGCCTGGCTCTGCCCCATTGCCCCCAGGTGCTGCTGCGGGACTACAAGTTGCGTTCCTACACCCTCAATGCTGTGAGCTACCACTTCCTGCAAGAGCAGAAGGAGGATGTGCAACACTCCATCATCACTGACCTGCAGGTCTCTGAGGGGTGGGGTCAGTTTGGGCCCCTCCCCCTCTTCCTCTGTCCTGACCGA